CTTCAGCATGACGGCCAGCTCAGCCGGGATCTCCAAGCGTCCCAGATCCTGGCACAGAGGAGCAATTGACAAGGTGCTAAGGGAGGGGCTACGGGGACCCAGCGTCCCTCCTCACCCCCAGGACTATAAACATCTGGAAAGACCGAGGGTTCTGATCCTGGACACAAATAAGGCCCCAGGAGCCCACGGAGGGAAAATAAGGCAGCCCAGGGCTCTTCTTAGGGGGTGCGTAGGATGCCCCTGAGAGCTAGGAGCCACGGTGGCTCAGCTGGGACCCCACACTCTCCCTTGAGCCACGCCGGGTTCAGTGGGTTCATAACCCAGTGGACACCCTCAAGCTTCCAGTCCACCTACCATGGTTGGAGCTTTCTCGGAGGTCCTCCTGCTGTGCCAACCACGCCAACGCCCAAGCTGCTCGGGGAGACGCAGGAGATGCTGGGGTCCCGGGAAGGAGTCTCCTCAAACCTCCCAGCAGCTCCTCCCCGCCTCGGCAGTTCAGCTGCCCCCGCCAGCCCCCAGCAGAGAAACAAGCACAGACCCCAAGGGGCCGGCCACCTGCCACCGGCCCTCCAGGGCCCTCACCAGCCTTAGTGCTGTGGGCGTCGCTGCCCGTCTGCCAGGGCACTGAGGAGAGGGCAGGAAGAAATGATCCCAGGGGACAAAGTCCATCCAGGGAGGGGCCCCAGGGGAGCAGTATGTGGACACTGACCTTTGAGCTTTTTTATGGCCCTCACATTGGAATCATCAGGCAAAAGAGGGGAGCTGGCAGGCCCTAAGGAAGGCCTGGAGGGGATAGGAAGGCACCCCAGGCGGACAGGGGAGAGTCAGACTCTGGAGGACGGGCAGGGATAAAGGAAGCGACCTCCAGGAGCCACCGGCCTACCGCAGGCAGCGGGGAATGGGAAGAGCCGGACCAGCAAGGCGGCCTAACTTCTACCCCGACCTGCCCCACCCAAAACCTGCACCTGCCGTCTCTGCCACCTCCAGAGCAGGGGACGGGCCACCAGCAGGATGGTGTTCAGCTGTCCCAGAGCCGCCCGCCGGAGGTACCGCTTCCTAGAGGCCGGTGGGGGTGGGGGAGGAGCGCGTGGTGAGGAGTCCAAACTTAGTCCAGTACCTGAATCCCCCAGCCAAGACATGAACGTAAACACTGACCCCGGGCCAGCGGCCCCCCACCCCGGGTGCTGAACAGAAGCAGCAGGGAAGGGACAGGACACTTTGAAAGGACAGGTGCATTGAGCAGGTGTTCAGCGAAGGAGATTAAGGTCTTAGACAGCAGAGCCGACCACTGGGCTCACTTCCCTCCTGTTTAGTCCTCGAGGTCATGAGGAAGTTACTTTCCCTCTCTGTTTTATCCCTACCATCTGCAAAATGAGGATTCGTGTAATACCTGCCCCACCACAAGATTAACTGAATCAACCGACATGTTGAGAAGAGTCTGACATATTTTTATTTATTTATTTTTAATTTTTTTTTAAGTTTATTTATTTTTGAGACAGAGAGAGACAGAGCATGAACGGGGGAGGGGCAGAGAGAGAGGGAGACACAGAATCGGA